TGGCTACAGCCAAAAATCTCACTCCCCAGCTCCACCTGCCTCCAGATGGAGAAAGAACCATCCAGCCTGTCCTCCTGGACTCATTTTAAGCTGAACCTCATGAGCTCTCATCAACCTCATACAGCAGCTGGGATGGTGCTAACTGCAGCTTTCCTGAACCTTTCTTTCTGCATGGGACAAGTGTATCCCAGGGGGATCCCACTGCACCCTACGCCTCTCACTGCAAAGCTGGTCCAAAAACACCCTCCAGGGCCCAAAATCTCCATCTTGACACCCAGCGAAGTCATGCCCTGAGCCTGACAGGACACTTGTACCTCTCACCCTCAGGCCTGACCTTGGTGTTTCCAAGGTCCATCTCCAACCAGCCTCTGCAACCACGCAAGCCTGGAGGGCAATTTTTAAGTAACTTCGGTGATCTGGACATTCACCAAGGAGGTGTGAAAGCTGGGTTCGACTCCTCTGCCCCAGGACTTGAACGTGCTGCTCCATCTTTGCACGGTAAGGCTCTGTCCCCAGCCACAGGCATTTCTGCCACAAAGGACTCAGCTCTCCCCACCAAGGTGATCTGCACTAGGAGGTGTGCAATGGACCTGGGAGCAAGTCAGCAGAGACTGACTCCAGCATTGCGTCTGAAAGGACTGAAGAAAAATGTGGTTTAAAACATCTTTCTCAGCGGTCTTGGTTAATGCAGCAGCTCCACGCAACCTCCCTCTGCTCACAGCAGGCAGCATGGCTGCTCCGAAATTCTGTGGGAAGCTGTGCTTTGACCTGCAGTGTGAGTATGGGCCAGCTCTACAAACCAGAGCAGGACAAAAAGCACATTGCCTTAGTACTCCTGTTGACACTCCCCAACATCGATGCACTCCCTTTGCTGAAGCCACTTTCCTCCTAAATCAGTCATCTTTCAGGTTTTATCAGTTTTCCAGTATCTGTTTACAGAACACAAGAATCAGGCTTTTCAGCTACAGGATTATTTCAAAGGAAAAAAAAAAAAAAAAAAACAAAAAAACAGCTTATTTCACAGAGGTGCTGATCTAGGAGTCTGCTCTTGCACAAACCACCTTTGTGATTGGCAGCTGCTGCTGAACTGGAACAAAAACTAGGCAAGCGCCATCTCTCAGGAACAGAGACTATTCAAGCTGAAAGTCCCAACACACTGTGACATCAAGAACTTCACAAATGCTAGACTGGATGGGTGTTTTCACGCCTGCTTGTGGAAGCAACAACAACCCCTCCTCCTATAAGGCCTGGCACTGCCTCCCAGCCACACTAGCAATGGGTTCAGCAGGCTCTGGAGGCCACCAAGAGCAGATCCAAGGTCCTTCAAGTCTGCTTCCACATTCATTCTGCAGGACCCTGCAGGCCCAGGGCACTGTGACCTCTATATAACAACCTCCACGTGGAATACTCTACACCACCCTACCTATTCCATCCAGCCATGAGATGTATGGGACAAATTGCAAGTCTGCTCATTCCTAGTAATGGACACCCCAATTCAGCCACGTGCAGGATCCTCCTCTAGAGATGGGAATTGGGTCCATGCTATAAAAACAATGGTTGTTGTAGGCTCTGAACTGCACCACCACTGTGGCAGGCCCAGCACTGAGTACAAAACCCTTCCTCCTACATCTGCACTCAGTGGTGGGTGAAACTAGTGACTGAGAATACAAGATGGACTCAATTCTGACCAAGCACCATGTTTTATTGAAATATTTACAGATGTGTCCCAGCTCTCTTCTTACCCATGGTAATTATAAAATGTTTGTGCATCATCATTAAACACCTCTTTCCCAGTCTCTTTCAAGGATCTAACAGATTTTTATTGTCTTCGTCGTCAGACAGCAGTGTGACTGAGTCCATAGGTATTTCTTGCTGGCTCAGCAAGAAAAGCTGAGCCAGCAAGCTCCCTCTGAGTCCAGGTTCATTTTCCCACATACTACAACTAAAAGGTTTCAGAACAGCGCCCCACATGCCAGTTGCTCCTCCAAACAGCCCAGTGGAGCACCAGGAATCTTCCACACAGCACAAGAGCCCCTTAGGTTTTTATAGCTGTGTCTCGGGACTTGTAAGCCACACCACGGCTCTTCAGCTCTCGGACGATCCCTGCAGCAAGGAGACAAACACATTTCAGTATTCTCTAGGAGAAGCCCTAAAAAAATCTGATTGCTGTATCATGTAGCCTTCACTGCAGAGATTAAGAACTGAACAATCTTCTTCTCAGTTTCTTCTAACACTTTGTAAACTACACTGTTAATAGTGAAGTTCCCTCTTCTGATTTAAATGCCTAGACAGAGCTCCCAGACATCAACTCTCATTTTGCTTTGGGAAAGAACTGGGTAGACATTTTGTTTACATTATTTTCTACCTGCAGATGTCTGAATATTATGACCATACTGCATGGGCCAAACTCTTAATGTAATTCTTAAACCTCTCAGTCATTTCCGTGACTTGTCTACATGTTCCACCTTCTCAGTAACCCTGTAAGAAATCACAGCAGAATAGCATCATGTGGTTCAGGATAGCTCTCATCAGCACCACACACCAGGGACAGACAAATGACAGCCTTCAAGGCCCTTGAGTGCAGTCTCTCAGTGGTTCCTGCATTCCCCAGTTCTCTCTCACCTCTGCCTGTGATATGAAGATGCCATCTAACCAAGGCCAAAGAGCATCTCCTACATGTACCCTCTCCTTCTGCCCTGTGCTCCATGTTGTGCTCTGCCTGCAGCTGCATGGAGCACATGCCATCACTTGCTATGTTCCACTTGTTTCAGATGTGTCCAAAGCTGTGCCAGGAGGCCTCAAACCCCATGATGTTCCATCTCTCCCAACACAGACAGCGGAACTCAGGTCAGGGCTTAGGATTCCAGACAAAAGCGTGGCTTTTATACCAGAGATGTGAGATTGTAGTACTCCTAGGAAGGGGCTCAGGTTAGATGTCTGATCAAGGACTGTGGACAGGACAGGGCCTCTTGTCCAAATGGAAAGTATAATCTCTGCTTTATGAAGGTAAGGCCAACTCGCTGCATACTCCGTTTATAAATGAATAAAACCCATCATAGCTTAACAGTGCAGTATTTCAATGGAAGGGGTATCCGTCTCAAGATCATTTTCCAAACAGCACCCTTTTCTGCACAACTCATTTTCATGGACAAACCTTTGTGTTCCCCTGTAGCTGAACAGCTTGAAATGTGCCCACTTTCTGTAGTCACCCTTTAATCACAGTTTATCACTTTGATGCTGTCCAGTATCACAGGTTTTATTCAACAGCATTTTAATATCAACTTCTGGCAGACAGACTGCTGAATGACTCCAGGTAGAAAACCTGTCTACAGAACACCTGAACCCAGCCTCCCATTTAAAGTCTTTTTGCAGTCACCTGGCTAATCCTTTCTTCCACATGGTGTGTGCTGTGTTTGTAACACACCATATTTACTGAATCCCTAAATGCTGATTTTATCACATGTGGCATAATACACTCAAGAGTGTAACTGGCTAATATACAATGCTTAGTACACAGAATAAGCCATCAGTGCCTTACACAAGCCGGCAGCATTACCTTGGGGAAGGCGGCCAGTCACAGACACTGCATATACACCCGGCTTGAAGTTACCTGGGGGAAAGAAAACACTGAGATGCTCTGCATGGCAACAGCCAGATGAGCAAAAGCCCCCACCAGCCTCAGCCTGCACAGATGCCCCCTCGTCTGGAATAGCAGCCAGAAACCCCTGCAGCAGCCCAAAGAACAGCTCCCACTGCCCCAGAGAGGGGTCTGCTGCAGAACAGTTTGCTCCTGTCCAACCCAGGAGGGAGAGACACTCACTGATGCGCTGCCACTTGGAGACCCAGCTGTCCTCCGGGCTCATCATCGCAATGATCCTGTGGGAGACAGGGGTGTGAGGGAATCTCCCAGCCAAAGTGCCATGGCACCGGGGCTGCCGAGCAGCCCCTGGTCACGGCCCCACTCACCCATCGAAAGAGGAGCTGGTGCAGTCGTAGACCATCTCGCGGTTGCCCTTCATCTGCAGGTAGGCATCGCAGTTGTCGCAGCCGTCGTACTCGAACTGGTCGATGGTCTGAGGGGGACTGAAGCGTCAGCTCAGGGACAGGCCGGGGAAAGGAGGGGCTGCAGCCGGCCGGGGAGGGAGGGGAGAGCCGAGCAGCGCCGGCGGGAGCGAGGGGAGCCAGTGCCAGGGCCGAGACGGAGCCCCGGGCCCGGCGGAGCGCGAAGGAGGCCCGGGCAGGCGGAAGGAGGGCCGAGCGGGCGGGCCGGGCCTCGGCCGGCGGAGAGGGGCCCGGGCCGGGACAGGGAACCCGAGGCGGGGCGGGGGGAGGCGCGGTCGGGGCCGGGGCGGGGGGCTCGGGCCGGGCGCACCTTGACGAGGGAGCAGAGGAGGCAGGCCCGGAGGTGCCGCAGGTCCTTGGGGACGGTCTCCAGCGCCATCCCGCCGCCGCCGCCGCCGCCGCCGCCGCGCAAGCGCAGGACAGGGCCGGGCCGGGCCTGCCCGTGGCGGCTGCGCCCAGCCGCGGCCCCGCAGGAGGGCGGCAGAGCGCCGCCAGGGACGGGGAGAGGCGGCGGGCAGCGCCGCACGCCGGGACCGAGAGGAGCGGGGAGGGCGGGCAGAGGCGAGACCGGGAGCCGCTGAGGGGCCGCGGCCTTGGGCCCGGCGGGAGCCGCCCGCAGCCCAGCGGCGGGGCCGGGCTGTCGGGGAGCCGAGGCCGGGCCGAAGGTCGCGGGAGCTTCGAGGTGAGGCCGGGGCCGGACGGAGCCGGAGGCCCACTGCGCCTGCTGCAGCCCCGGGGGACGAGGCCTCGCCCCGTGTCCTGACCTCGGCGGTGTTTGCAGCTCCCCGCGCTCGCTGGGCAGCGAGGCTTCACCTGGCCGGCTGCGGCGGCAGCCACGGGTTGTCTGAAACAACTCACTTGCGTGGCGTGGCGAAGAGGTGCTTGTTTCCAACACAAACCCGGCTTGGTGCAGAACAAAAACACACGAGCAGACATGATACGTGGATAAATATATTAGTAAATAAATATATTTCTGAGCACATCAGCATATTCACACATCTTTGTTTCTATCAGACATAAATACACAGTTCTGCATATATATAAAACCTATTCCGTTTTGGGTCATAATTTATTCTCAAGCCCTAAGAGCTAGGACAGACTCGGAAAAACAAAACTTATATTCACATTTCAAAAGGATCTGAACTTTAGAGAAGGAAGGAACAGAGGCTCTGTGCAGAAATGGAGGAGGTCCAGCCAGCCTAGGCACTCTGCCCACAGCAACCTAACTCGGTGGGGTTGAAGGTCCTGGGAAGAAAGGCATCCCCGAGGAAGGACCAATGGCTTGGTTGTGGATAGAGTGAGTTCAGGATGCTCTGGCTTCCATCAGTTTTCAGCTGGGTCTTTGGACTCAATGAAGGAAAATGAACTGTTTCATTGCAGTGATACTGAAGACATTTAGTGATGGAGCCTAAGGGTACTGACCACTCAAAAGTATCACTTAAGACGTGAGATGTGCAGGAACTGAGAGGAACCATTTCCCATTTTCTTAGATGATACTTCTTCTCTTGTAGGCAGCCAAGGATTGTAGTCCATTTACAGAAGAGGATTCAAAAAACACCTTCCTGTAGAATTCCTCCCTCTCTTCCCACCTGAGAACCCACCTAGATAGACCTGCACACTCTCACAGGAAGCCCCATGGAGAGGGCCTACCATCTGAGATGTCTGTTTTCTGGATGAAAAGTAGCAGCAGAATAAAAATCAGAAAATGAAAACACTTTCAAGTGGGCGTTGCCCTGCACAGCCCAGTAATACTGCAGTAGGGAGTGGAAAGGGTTTGCTAGTACTGACCACTTTCTCCAGTAATCTTGGGACTTGCTGCAGACTCAAGAGTTCTCCTTTTTTGAGGATAAAGAAGAAAAGAGAAAAAGTACTTTTAGACTGCCAACTAGACACTCATTCCTTTGAGGCAGTGAAATGCATCCCTGGAGGCTCTCAGCCTTCCTGACTCCTAAAGAAACCAGTGTGAGCACCCTGACTTCAAGACACCCCCCTCTTTAAAGTCACCTTGAGCCCTCTAGATGGCCAAGGATGTAGGGAGCTGGTTGAGAGGAGCCATGTGCCACATACACATAAAGTTGAACTGGGTGAATCTAGACCCTCTCCTGGCTTTATCATTATTATTATTATTTTCCCTCTAGTTTAAGACAGACTTTCCTGCAAGGGAGAAAACAAGAAGAGACTGAAAGGGTTAGAGTATAATTCTGCTGTTTGTTTTTTGTTTTGTTTTGTTTTTTTTTTAATGTGAGAAATTCAGCTTTTCTCTAGACTCAGAGGTCCTGCAGTGGGTTGGTCACAGGAGACAAGAAAATGAACACCAGCAAAGGAATAAAGTTATGTTTAAAACAGTGTTATTGGTTGACTTTTAATAACATCATGTTAGTGACTGCCAGCTGGGACAAAGATGCCTTTTTCAAAGATTAAGGGCAGCAAGCCCCATAGAAACCTTAATTAGAAATGAAGGAAGGCAGAGGCATGATTAGTCTGAACTGGGACTGCCTAACCATTGCACTCCTGGCCTGGGGAAGAGGCTGCTGCTTCACAGGAAGATACAGAAAACTTATCACAGAGCAGATGGGGGGAATGTTTGTCCCTATAGCAGGTTTCAGAAGTTACCTTCAGCTCCCTTGCCAATGTTTTGTTAACTCTGAAAACTTGAGATAGTCTTGGTGCCCTACAAACGTGCACTCCACATGGGAATCTGGCTAATTCTTTGGCCTGAATGATCCTTTAAGGCAATGAACTCCACTGTCTCATTCCCTGCTGCAGGAAAACTGTTTATCTTTTGAATTTGCCAGACTTTATTTTACTTGTATGTCTCCAAATTATGAGGCATAGGAAACAAGAATTGGGAATATTCCAAAACCATACCACAAATGGGGTAAGAAGGGAGTAAGTCCAGAGCCTAGAAATTTCTCAGATTTTCTCCATCATCAAAATGCTAGAAAAGGCAAAAGGGTATTTTGAAAAACTCCTTTGCAAGATCATTTCAAGCATCTCACAGAAATACAAAGATAACGCTGGGTGATAGATGGGGCTCTGCTCTGCATTTCTTACAGATGCTTTTGCTGGGAATTTTTGCTGTGTCTTGGGGAAATGAGAGAGGAAGGAGAGAAGCAGGAGTCGAGTCATGTGAACTCAGGGACTTTCCATGACTTCTGTGATGGGGGCATCTCAAGTTTGAAGTATGCTCAAAAATGTAAGCTCTTAACAGGGCTGGCTACCACACCTATTTTGAGGATAGATGAAGAAGTTACAGGTTGAATGAGAGACTTGTTCACATTACCCAATGACAGGGTGGATTCTTTGCAATGGAGAAAACATGACCCAGCTCTTTCTCAGAAATGGCCATTGTCCCTGCATCTTCACCTCTACCACTGCTGGCAAAATGCAGCAGATGGCTGAGGGACAACAAAGTCATCAAAAGTGGTGAGAGATATTGGTTTCCAATGAAGTCAGAAGAAGCACCTTGCAGGGCAGACCTGAGTGCTGAGGTGGAGAACAGCTTGTTGCTGTCTGAGATAAAAGTGGAAAAGTTAAATGAAGAAGTCTGGCTTTGACCTAAGAGAGCAAATGAAGTCAAGAGCTAAGGGGCCACAGAAAGTAATTTCTGCAGCTTTTGGTCTTGAAGACTTGTTTATTTTTGAAGTGTTTAGCAAAACCTTCTGTGGCATCAACATGCCAAAATAGCAGCTTGCACTCACTCCGCGAGCTCTCCAGCTGGTGACTCCCAGAACCGGTCTCTGAGCAAGCTAGCCCATGCAGACAGATGCTGCTGGATGAAGACAGGCTGCTTGTGCCTTCTAAGGAGAAGACCTGAAGAACACAACTCTGCATTTGTGTGACCATTGCAACGTGGAAAACATGAGGAGACCACAAGCATCACATTGCTTATGTGCAGTCTGCATCACAGTGTGGGCCTTGCAGGTCAGGGCTGGTTATTATGCTTCCTGTGCAGAGACCAAGATGTGAGCTCCACTACGGCTGGTATGCTGAACATCTTTGTTCACTTCAGCTCTCCCGTAAGCAAATTAGCCAGTGTCTTATTAAACTGAGTGTTCATGGACATCCTGGACCTCCTCTTCAGATCCTGCATTCAAAAAAACAACAAAAAAAAACAAAGTGTAAGCTACAGCAAGCTGAATGCTTCAGGACCTTGCACTGCTGGGACCTCAACTATTGCAATAGGGAGATTGGATTCTGCAGTGAAAGCCACAAAGTTTCTCTCAGTATTTTTGAGGGGCTTTTCTACCCCCTCTACAATCAGGTTATGTCAATGCACAATAAAACGTAAGGATAAGGCATCAAACTCATACTTGAATATTCAGAAAATACAGGCTAAGGATATGGCAAATCTCAGGATTCATATTCCTACTAGATATTTTCTTTTGAGGCTTTTTGATGTTTGCTCTTGAAGGAAAATCTATACGGCCTTTTTAAAAAATGATTAGCACCAAAACATAACACTGGTTCATATTCACACAGTGCCACGGCATCACACTCCAGGCACAGGGGACAACAACAAAAGAAACTCCAGACAACAGAAGGAGACTGTAAGAGAGGTGTGCACACAAGAATGGTATGGCACACGCATTTCATGGTGTTCAGAAGTTGCACAAATTGTTTCAGTCTCAAAAGAGCCAAACCCAATGACTTGTTGTTGGCCACTAATGCCAGTCCTCTGTGGCCAGCCAGCAAGGTCTGTAGTTCATGCTCCTCACCAGCTGCCCTCGCCTGGTGAATTACTGACAGGCAAGTGTTGAGTAGATTGCATTGTAACATTCAAGTAAGGGCTGCCTAGAAACTGTGCACCCTCAGTTACTGCTTCAAATAGTCTTTTTCTCTCTAATGTGGTGGAGTGTTGTGCATACACCATGTTCCCTTTCCCAGATGTCTCTCAAGCCTCTCACACAGGGTAAGCATAGCCCAGTAAATGCATACATGCATTATTTTTCACATTCCCTTTTCCTGAATGTTCCTGAGATCAAAGGGAACCAAATGCCCATATAGCTATTCACAGAGAGCAATTCAAAACATCTTTTCAAAACAGTCACAGCAAAGTCTTGTTCATTACAAATTGCAAGCTGTAGGAACAAAACCTCTGCAAATTAAATATATGGGAAGAAAACAACTAAAGGGGAATCTGCTTTGAAAATGTAGCTAATAGATGTGGGAAAATGAATGGACAGACACAGCATTATATATATATGTGTGTGTGTGCAGGTCATGGCTAAAGTACCAGAAGGCAGAGTTTGAGAGTATCTGGCACTTGTGATTTGTGTAACCAGTATGCTGAATAAGCTGTTGCCAGCTGCTTCTCATGTACACTGGCTTATGTGCAATGCAGAAGAGTCTGTACAGCTTTGATTGCCCTGTGATCATCAGAAGTCCTGAGCCTCAAAGAGGGTTATTAAAGTATTTTCTGAAAACTGTGTTTGTGTGTGTGAATGTCAATACAAACCAAAAGAAAAGTTAAAAAAAGTGTTGAATCTAGAGATAGGTGAGAGATCCGCAGCTGCTGGGCTGGCTGTGGAGAACCGCACAGAGCAATGGCCTGAAGGAGCACACCTTGCCAATACAACAGAAATCTTGTTCTTTGGGTATTAACTTGTAATGGTGGTCTTTCCCTGCCCCCTAATCCCTTTCGCCTTCTCTAGCAAAGATCAAAGACGTGACATGAAAGGGAATAGCTGAGAAGACAAGCAGGAGCTGGGGGAGAGAGGGAGGATGCTGACAGCATGCTGCAGGAGATGAGATTTCCCAGAGAGAGAAAGCAAGAGGTTTCATCCTGCGTAGGGAGTAATCCAGCTGTTCTGGGATGAGATCCTTGCATGCTGGGGTGGTGTAGGAAGCCATCTAGATGTAATTCATTGCTAGTTGTCTGACTTCTCTTAAAAAGAGCCTTTCAGTGCTGCTTGAGGATTGATTCTTCGTTTAAACTAGTCAGAGCTGTAAGTCCTTGGCATAGTCTCCCAGGCAAGAAAAGTGTAGATGTATCTTTATGCAAAACCCACCAAGAAAAGCTGTATAAACTCCAGGGTCATGCAAGCATCTTTGGGGCCATTGCAGGCACCCTGGTGATGTCTGCAGACAGCATTATTCCCCATGATGCCAGTGCGTGGTACTGCCTAGGAAAGGGGAGTTTCTACAGGGGCTGCGATTCAGCCTTACCAAGCTTCAGCCTCACCTTGCAGCTGGGCGAGGTAAGCACATACCTGGAGGGTGCTACATCCCACAGGAGCACCATCAGCTTCTGGAAACCCTGGTTTAGGGACTTCCTGAGCCAGAGATTGCATTTGCATCTCTGCATTTGATAGCTCTTGATCTAGGCTCTTGAACCCATTTTACTTCTGGCATGTACATCCTCTGGGCAATTAACATCACAGTTTCTCTATGCCATGTGTTACTTTACTGGGTGTTTTAAAGCTTGTTTCCCATTTGATGCCACTACTTATTTTGTTATAAGAAGCAGTGTCTCTTAGTTGTGTTCTCTCCTGCTCTATCTGATTTTGTATTCTCTGTTTCATATCCTTTGCTAGTCATCATTTTCTCACATGAAAGTCTCTATATTCAGCTTTCTCAAAAAAGCCTCAGCATTGTGACTGTACTCGATCCTCCTGTACTTCTGCCAAGTCTACTACATCCTTTTGGGAGAAGTGGTGATGGGTGGTGCATTCTAGCTCTGAAAGCACTACAGATTCATGCAGTTGCATGATGGCACACTTTCTGCTTGTCTTGTACTTGTTCCCAGCTAGCTCCTAATAATCACCTGACTTGTTGACTGAACTACTAACAGCAAGTCCAGGATGCAGTTTTTCTGAGTTAGCTGAGAAAGGCCCATCACTGTGTGTAGGCATTTAGAAGCAGCTCTGCTTGTGTGTGGCATTTTGTGTTATGGAATTTCACCCACCACTTTATTGCCCAATAACTCAGCAACAGGAGATCCTTCTGTAGCACTTTGTAACCAGTTTTAAAGCTGACAATCCTGGAGGATTTTGTCTTCTTAAAACTTTGTTATCTCCTCTCTGTGCCCAGACTATTTATGAGCTTGCTGAAAGGTGCTGACAGCTGGAGAACTCCACTTCCCTCCCTTTCCAAGTAACTTTCCTCCATTAAGACTGATCTGCACTTTGTCTCCTATTTTTTAGCCAGTTATTTACCTATGAAAGCACCTTCCCTTTTATCCTTTGAGAGCTTCATTCCCTTAAAAGATCTGGGAGGCGTTATCTCTCTACAAAAGCTGTGTTGCCTCCTCCCCTGGGTTTCACATTTAGCCATGTGTCTACAAGTCAGACCCTGTATTTGAACTTTTAACAATTTGCTTGCCAGGAAAGTCAGGCTCATCGTTCTGTTCCTTCAGCTATTTCAAGCTGATACTGCCCTCAGCTCTTTCTTCTGGGTCTGGGCACGGGTAACAGATTACAGTCCACATTTTTGGTTTAGCAGTTTTGTATTTGAACCCCTGCAGAATGCCCAGGTGAATAATCAATAACGCAGGCAATTTGTTACTGTTCACTTTACTGATGTGTTTCAGAAATGCTCATACTGATGACTTGATCCGTGTGGGATCCTCTAACCCATGCCCTGAATAGAGATGTGCCAGGGTGAGAACTTCCTCGAGCACTTCCCTGCTGATTACTGATGCAGCAAATTCATTTTGCTCCTCTACTTTGCTGTTAACAACCCTTGAACATCCCTCTTAGGCCTGTCTTACTCTCTGGAGCTGCAGAGCCTCTGGCAGGCTTCTTTCTTGTGATGGAGCTGAAAATGCTTGCACCAGTAGTCATTCTGTTTTTCACAAGTTGTTCACAGAAGTCTTTCCTGGCCTGCCTCACCATGGCTCTGCACTTAGCTTTACATCCAGCTCTCTTCTGATTTCTTGTCTGGCAACATCTTCACTTTTGAAGAATGTCTTATTGCTTCTAATTGCCCTCTCTGCTCTGCTGCCCCACCAAGCCTTCTCTGGGGCCTTTTTGTGGTTGGTGATATGTATGACTCTGGGCTTCTGGTACTGCATCTTTAAATGATCCCTGCGCCCAAAAGCATCTTTTCTTTTGACTGCTTCTTTCACTATGATTTTAAAAAGAGTCTCATGTTTATATACAGACTTGTTTGCAGACTGTGCTAATGCAGTGTATTATAACCCAAATTCCATAGTGTTTCTACTTAGGTACAATTGGGGATTTTGTGTTACTTGTCATTGGACTTTATACTCTCCTTAATACACAGTGTCCCTCCTGTGCCCCAGAAAAGGCATACTCTTCTCTGTAATTTCACATGGAAATTGCAGAGTGCCACCGTGTTTTTGTTGTTGTTTACGATTTTTCTGAAAAGTTCATGTCAAAAATTTCATATAAAACTAGGCTTTCTGATTCATCCACTTACATTTTTAACCTTGCAACACTTACTTATCTAGAGGCATATATGCATTTCTCTTTGGTCTCCTTGTCTATTTTTTGTGTGTCCCATTTAAACAGGACTGTCTATTGGGATTGTTCTTTGCTGTTTTTAACAGTTCTCCACTGATCTTTGTGCGGTGACTTTGTAAGGTAAGCCAGCTTGATGGCTTTCCCATATAACCCCTGCACAAGCTTCTGCTCTCTGAAACTTTTACTAGTTCCTAATAAAGTAAAATCTTTCTATTATTTTATAAATCTTATAAGGAAATTTTGACTCTCTGTCTGGTCCTGAAAGCACCACAGAAGCTACTACAGTGAAACAGACTTAGAGTGACACTGCTTTAAAACACAGCAGTTCTTTGGGCTCCTGGCAAAAATGAGGTAAGAGGGACCAGAGGCTTCCTGAATGGACATGCTTTGAAAGTCACGCTGGTGCTGGCTCTGGGCAAGTGTCAAGTGCCTTCCCCATTGCACCATCAGGATGGGCACAAATCTGGGCCTCTGGGACAATCCACAAAGCAACAGAGGCATCGCAGCATGTACCTCTGCAATGCCTTGGAGCCCCATGTTAGAACTGTGAAGCCCAAGCAGCAGGTCCCCTGGGCCAGCAAGTGCCCCAGGGGGATCCCTGCTCCCTCCTTCCCTCCAGGCTGGAGGGAGACACCTTCCCTCCTCCATCTCCAGGGTGTCCCCAGCACAGATCCTCCCAGTGTGGGGGTCACAGGCGGGAAGGGAAGGGAAGGGAAGGGAAGGGAAGGGAAGGGAAGGGAAGGGAAGGGAAGGGAAGGGAAGGGAAGGGAAGGGAAGGGAAGGGAAGGGAAGGGAAGGGAAGGGAAGGGAAGGGAAGGGAAGGGAAGGGAAGGGAAGGGAAGGGAAGGGAAGGGAAGGGAAGGGAAGGGAAGGGAAGGGAAGGGAAGGGAAGGGAAGGGAAGGGAAGGGAAGTGGCACTGCTTAAAACATGAGTTTTATCACAAAGAGTACCAAAACCTGGCAGTACATCACACATTTCCTACAAAGGACACACAACAGTAGCCACCAAAGCCAGTGCATGGTGTTGCACAAGCCTGGCACCTCCATTTCTAAATCTGTCCATTCCTGTGTCTGCTCTTTTGCTCATACACTTCTTCTATAGAGAGAAGTTGAGAGCAGGCAAGCCAATATAGGGATCCTGTCTCTCATGCTACAAAATATATAAGAATGAAGAAATGACAGTTGCACCTATACCCCTGAAACTTCGGGGTGCGGTCACAGAACACAGCACCATGAGGCACATCCCACCATGTGCTTATGGTGTCAGCCTCCAGGCAACATGGAGATGCAAGGTAGCCACACCACACTAGGGGACAGTCACCCCAATGGGTGGCAGCTGGGCTCCTCTTTCAGCAGTTTCCTGGGCCACAGCCTGCCAGGGAAGCCCAGACACTGCTGCAGCCCATAGGGAGGGTGGCAGTGGGTGGCAAAGCCCTGCACTGTCAGACAGCAGCAAGGTGTGACATGCTTCCTTGCACTGTACTCTTCCACAGCCACACCTGGAAGAAGCGCCAGCTGCCCTGAGACCTGGATGGAAAGATTGGTGTGTCCTGGTGGCAGCCATGTCTTGCGTGTCCAGGCCATGGTGGGCTGGTGGACGAGGCCATTCACGCTGCACAGGACACTCCCTGTGAGAGGGACATGGAACAATCCTGGGAGCTGTTTTGGTCCCCCCTTGCTCATGGCTCCTGTGGCCCCAGGTGTGGCACTGCCTCCCCAGATATTGTCCCTTCCCAGCCAGCACCTGGGCTGGGGACAGAGAGGTCCATGCTGAGTCACACCGGTCCCTGGGCTTTGTTTTGCAGTGGGAGCTCACACCAGCTCCTGAGCAACCTGCCACTGTGCTGTGGTCCTGGCAGAGCTCTTTCCTGAGGATATCGCCACACACCGTCTCCAGCTCAGGACGCATCAGCCCTCAGAGCTACCAGCAAATTGGAGAGATCCCTGTGCTGCTGCCTCTGTGTCTCTTGAAGTGGCAGCCTCCCTCCGGGCCCTTTGAACAAACTCCCCCATCACCTGCAGAGCCAGGCTCTTCTGCGCATGGGAAAAACCTGTTCCTGGGAGCCTGGGAGCCCAGCGTGCCGCAGGCACTGCGCCCATCCGGCCTTTCCCCCTGCCCTGCTGCCTCCTTGCAGGCACGGCACAACCAGGAGCCTGGGCGTGGTGTTGGGCTGGATAGACAAGCATGGGGAGGAAGTTATTATCTCTGTGGTACAATGGGCATGGTGAGTCACGAGTTTAAGGCCGGCATTTTAACAGAAATTAGGCAGCCAGATCTGTATTCGGTACCTAAATCAAAATGATTTGCCCGAGGACCTGCAGTGAGTCAGTGGCAGGGTGAGGAAGGGAGCCAGGTGCTGCTCTGCTGCCAGCACCTGGCCTTGCTGACTTGCAGGCTGCTATTTGCAGAGTCCAAGAGAGCAAGGCTTGCGAGCTAAACCTGGGCTGGCTCTTTCAAACGTTCTGGTATTTTCCCTCTCACAGAGAGAGCCAGAACTGACGTACAGGCAAAGGGCCAAATCTTAATTACACCTAATTTTCAGAAGACACTAAAAAGTAACTCCCACACATCAGAGGCAGGTGAGACAGGAGGGATGTGCAAATCCATAAACTCATTTAGTCTGTTCCTCTACTACATCCGGCCATGCACACTCATTTCCTTGTTGAGCCCAGCAGGCTGGGGTTAACTGTATCAACTAAGCCCACTAAGCCTTAACAATAATGACTTTGCCACTAGGACATCCAGACTGCGGTAAGGATACTTAGAATTTTGGTTCCACCCTTTCCTTTGGGAGATAATCCAGTGGCTAGAGACCCCCTAAACAGCTTCCTTATTTCTCACTTGTGTTATTTTAGGATGAGATTGCAGGGTTTGGTGCACTCAGCTGATGTATTAACACATGCTAATTGTCCAGGCCATCATCTCAGGACAGGTAAGCTCTGAAAAACTTCTGTCACCAGTGGTGCTGTAGGAGAGCCCACCATTAAGGTGCAAATGTCTACCAGCACCCAGAGCAGCCTCATGCCCATCCTGCAGCAAACCACCTCCACTCACCTGCCTGCTGAAAGAAGAGGCCAATACCAGACTTACCCTGACTACACTGCTGCGATGGGCAGTGCAGGCGAAGACTCAGATTGTGCTTTGCTGTGCCCATCCCTGAGAAACCAGCAGGAACTGTGTGGTTTCCCTCCCGTCCTGACATCCCCTCTTCCTGCTTTTTCAGCTCTGAGCTGGACTGTGGCACTAAACACTTCCAAAGTGGCCGAGCACCCAAGCTGCAGGGCAAGGAAGCGCTTGGGATCAGGGGCTGGACTTCAGGGGAGCAGCGGTGGCCAGTGGGGTGGCCATGAGGAATGTGAGTGTCACAGGCTTTGGGCAAGGCTGAGTCCTCAGGCAGGAGAGAGGGGTCGGGTTCCAGGGGACATTTCCTTTTCCTTCTGTGGTGACGACTCTGTAAGCTGTGTCTCTGCAGCAGCAGGACAGGGGATGTGCCTGCTGCTCCTGATTGTCTGGTGGCATCTACACTGAAGTCCAACCTGTTTAGAGAAGCAGAGGGGACATGTGGGGGCTCCCGGCCTTGCTGGGAACAGGCTGTCTGTCCTGCTGGAGGTGCCTCCTGTAACACCGTGCTGCTTTCCACAGGCTGCTGACAGTGATGGCTCTTCTCAGCTCTCTTTTGAATCCGAGCACCGTGGAAGCCAACCTTGGTCCCAGAGTACCGGGACTTGCGCTGCCCAGGCCCTTGGCCGGCCCGCCCAGGAGGGCACTCTGCGTCCCTTCTGTAGTGGTGGTGCTGGTGGTGGTGGTAGTGGACATGGCTGAGCACCTGGGCCTTGGATGGAGCAGCACCCCCAGGCACCACCAGGTCCAAGGACCTGGGCCGCGTCTCCCTTGGTGGCCGCTGCCGCTCCTGCCCGTTGTCTGTGGCAGGCCCCTCTGAGCTGCAGTACACAAATGGGTCATAGTCACTGCTGAGGGAGCTGCGGAACGTGGAGCAGCTGCCATGGATGCCCTGCAGACTGACGTCTGTGCAGTTCAACATGGAGTCGCTGGAGGAACCGTGGCAGGGCCCCGAGCTGGAGTCACTGCCCGGCCCGTCTGCCAGGTACCCACTGTGCTCCGTGAGATAGCTCTCCCCGGAGCCGCTGCTGTTGTGCTGGTGTCCATGGCCAGCCCCTCGGCGCAGGGCAGGTGCCCGGTGCTGCCGCTGTGCCAGGGCTGCCTTGAGTCCCAGGCAGGGGGGCTGGGGCTGCAGGGGGCACATCCTATGGGGTGTCAGAGGCTGCCCACATGCTGTGGGGCTGGGATGCTGCTGGCCCTGCAAGCCAGGGACCAGGGGGGATGGGTGGCTGCAAGCAGGCAGAGAGCTGGCTGGCCTGTAGGGCATGTAGTGGATGGTGCTGAAATCCAGCTGGGAGAGCTCCGGAGAGTGGAAGAAAGGGTTGCCATGGGCTGGCTCTGGGGGGAAGCTCCTGAGGTTTCTCTGAGGGTAGGCATGTGGGAGGTGGTAAAGGGCATGTCCTGGATGCTGGCGGAAAAGGTGCAGTCGCCGTCCAGGCTCCATGTCCCGAGGGGCCAACCTGGAGCCTGCCACTGGGGCCTGGTCAACCGAGTCTCGGGCTGAGAAGAGAGAAGGTAGTATTCAGCATATGTCCTGTGCCCCAGATACAGTTGGCCTGGCACTTGCGAGTCTCTACTACATACTCACGTCCTGTCTGTGTCCTCATGGCTGCCAGCAAATTGTCCTGCACCCTCTTTGGTGCCCCAGTCCCCAGCCCTCACCTCCCTTCCCCATAGGTCTTGAGACTGGCTCTGATCCTGCCCCAGCCCAGCACCTCACTGTGCACCACTGGGATGGGGGCTTTTACACACACAGATCCCCCACACCTCCATGCACTCACCACCCCATATACCCGTATGCACAGAGACACGTTCCCATGATGCACCCACTGCATCACCCAAGGGTACGTAGTCCCCCTGAACCAGAAAATGCCGTGTCTGAGCCCTACCAAGAATATTGAACATGCAAAGCGGACACGTGTGGTGTTGCTGCAGCCAGGGGTCAACACACTCCCGGTGAAACTCATGGGAGCACGAGATGATCCGCAGTTCCTAAAGAGAAACAGGGAGAGAAGGCTGAATGAGAACCATGTCCCAGGAGCTGAGCATAGGGAGGGGGGCTCTTGATGCTCCAGAAAGTGAGACTTGAAGGATGGAGACATCTAACAATGAGCCACCTGCTGCCCAGCTTTGCACAGAGGAGGTTGCATGCAGCTTTGGGGGGTGATGCCTGGGATTGGTGCTAGTCCTCAGGAAAAAGGGGTATTATGGGCTGACTGTTTTGGAGAAGCAAACCCCACTTTTGCCCCATTGTTTCAACATGGACACATCAGGGGCATTATATCCTTCAGTGACAGCTGAAGACCCATCTGTAGGGAACTGGAATCTGCAAGCAGGGCCAGTGCTTTTTGGCCAAGGGGCAGGCAGATATCCATCAGTGATGGCCCCTTCCCAACTTTCAGGAGCTGCTGAAGGAAAACGCCCAAGGTCCTCCAACCTCTGCCAAGCTGCTCAGCTCCTTCTGCAGCTCTGTCTGCCCACAGCCAAGCAGCTCAGAGCTGATGCTCACTAGCAGCCATGCCTGCAACCTACCTGGCCCTCGCTGAACTCCTCCAGGCAAATAGCACAGACTGGGGCTGAGCTGCAGCTGCTGGTGGAGTCCCACCGTGACGCCTGCCGGCACCTGGCCTGGTAGTTGCGTGTGGCCAGCTGCCCGATGGCCTGCATGGTCTGCTGCTGCAAGGAGTCCTGACAGAAAGAAAGGAGGCTTTCAGGAAAGGGTCAACCTTGTGTTGTCATGTTCTTTGAGGCTTTTCCACTTTTCAAAATGGGATTATTGGGGATTTGAGAACAATACTCATTTCCAGAGGTGACTCTTTGCCTAACCTGGCATAGCCAGAGGGGGCTTTGACACCAGCAAGAAACGTCTGGCACTGGCCATTCAAAACCACTCAGCAGTTCCAGATTTTATGTCTTTCTATTGGAAAAAACAGGGTATTTTCAAATCTGGAGATACATCTAACTCTGTAAAGACTTTTATTTAATTAGTTTCTATTAAAATGCTAAATCTTCTACAGGTAACACTGTTAAAATCAAGAGCTTGCAGGCCAACTTCGCAGCTTTAGGTGCTGAGACAAGCTCTGAAAGGTGTAGGGAGTGTGGCAGGCTGCTATGCTCATGGGGTGGTGGGAGGAGAGCGAGGCCACTGCACAAGGGATGCTCCACATATCCTTGGCATGCACCTGCCTTGTCTCCAGGTCACAGAGGCACTTTTCTTCCCCCAAACTGGGTTTGTGGCTACCACTGTTGTGTTTCTGCTTCCTCAGACACATCTGCTCCATGAGATGCTTACCTGAGTCCTGTTCAGCTGACACTTTGTGCGGACAACAAAAATCAAAATGATGACAACAACAGTGCTGACCACCGTGAGAAGAATCCATACATCGTAGTCTGGCTGATGGATAAAACAGAAAATAGATTACTCTTGTGTGGCAAAGGTGGGAATTAGAGGATAAACAGGGGAATTCAGATCTCTTCCTGACCATCGGCCTTTGAATGCATCAACTCTGATTCCTTGCTCTTTACAGCTGAAAGAAAAAGGGTTCAGACTTTTCTGCACACTTTGGCAGGAACGGATTTTTTGTTTTGCAGCACCTCAGCTCACTATAGGCTGCGGTCTAAGGTAGCACCAAATAAGAAAATCAAGGCTCAGTCTCATATAAAATGGTAGGAAATCCTCTCACCTCACTCATGATCTTTAAGCAAAAGGAACTAAATAAGCTGAAAGAGCTTTTGAGCATTTATTTGCAGCAAAGCATCTGAATGATGCAGATAAGCAGAATGGCTCTGCAGAGCTCCTGCAAAGATCTGTGATCTCTGTCCATCGGGAGGAAAACCCAGCAGCTTTAGAAAAGTCCTTGGGAGAGAGGATACAGAAGACAGTGGAACGGTGTGTGTCTCACCCAAGCTGGTGGCTCCTTGACCTCTATCTTCACATGGGCCTCTCTGTTCTTGTTCACGACACCCATGAGCAGCTCGGCATCATGGCCCCTGATCAGAACCACAGGCTGACTCAGCCCTCTGGGCTTTCTCAGCTGTAAAGAAACAAACATTGTGAGAGATGGTCCAGAACAGCCTGAAACAAGGACTATCCCAGCTCCCCGGGCACATCTGGTTCCTCCCAATACGTCTTGTAAACACTTCAGAGAGTAAGACTGCTCCCCTAGATTGCACTATCCCTCTGTGAGGGAATCAGATGGAATCTTTCACTAACTCTTCAGAACAGCTTTCGTTATTTCCTTCAATAGTGTCTCCTCCTCATGCACAACTGGACACTTTGTTCAGTGTTGTTCGTGCTCCTCTTTGAAGCCCCACTGCAAAAGTCCTTGGTCTCTCCTCTCCCATGTGGCAGCTGCCAACAGCACCACTGAGTGCTGCCTTTGTTGCAGAAATACTTCACCTCCTTTTCCTGTGAGATACATCAGAGTCTCCCCTCTCCTCCCTCTGTGATCTACAGGACATTGTTTGTTTCTGACCATACCTTTTTCCACCATAGACATATAGTCTAGGCAGCCTCGCACAAGCAGGCTCAGCAAGTCCATGTGTTCTCTCTTCCACATTGACCTGAACTGGGGTGGCCACCTGACCCAATATGCATACTTCCCATATGCATACTGAGCAACCTCAGCATTGCCTCATGAGCCTTCACCTGCTTCCACATTTCTCTGGCATTAGAAATTAAGTGCATGAAAAAAACACAAAGGATGGATCCAGTGACCAGGAATCAAACCAGAGTTTTGCTGATCTCAGGAACCAGCTCTTCTATCTGTCCTCTTATCTAGGGCTGGATGTTTTTCATTATACATTGATTATTCCAGCGAGGAACCTAGTCCCCTCCAGAGATTAGCAATGGTGGTGGAAGGTATCTCTGGAGGTCTATAGGCCAATGTCTAACTTGTAGCAGGATTATAACAAACAGCATACCAGGGTGGCCAGGACTTTTGCTTGAAAACTTGAGAAATCACTTTTCCTCTAGATAACAACAGGGCTGTCCCTACCAGATGGGCTCTGTTAATCTGTGACTTCCCACATGGAAGCATCCAGTTCCTGGAAGAAACATTCAATTGACCAGACGATGTTCTTTAAGAGCAGCAAGGTGCTGTTCACAAGCTGCTGCCTTGCTTGTTCTGCCTGCTGATCCGGAGGCTCACCAAGGGTTGAGCAAAAGAGAAAAGTACTGTCCATGAGCATGGACAAGCTGTGTAAGAGTTAACACTCAAATCCAACTTGCATTATCTTCCTGGGACATCCCACTGGATGTTGGTGGCTGGTAGGTTCTGACCTGTGCACATTTAGGGATGTGACAGGGGCACTGCAATTTGTTTGGTAATATCAGTGAGGTCTGTACCTGATCAGCAGCGCTTTCATCATCAGTAATGTCAAAAAGGATAGCACGGGCTCCACGTTCCCCTGCCAGCTTTGCCTGTCCAAAAGAACAGAAGCTTGAGTAGACATTTTATATTTTACATCTATATTAACATCTACCATTTGGATATGCATTTGCCTCCCTGGCTCTTCACAAGAGAAAGAAACACCTGCTGCTTAGACTGACAAAATAGCTTACACCCTCATTTCTGATTTGTGTTGAGCTGCAGTGAAACCAGTGTCTGCTCTTGCCACAGCTCTAGCACTCATGGAAGGTTTCCCCACACAGTTTCAGACACAAATTTGTTGGTGTGATTGCAGTCACAGAAACCCATAAACCTAGACACCAAATCCCCTGCATGTCTGTGCCATGGGCCCCTTTACTTCAGAGCTGGGTTGTTGGGGAGATCTGCAGCTCCATTAGCACCGCACACTGCTAGGCAAGCCTCCTGTCCCAGGAGAGCAGGGACTGCCACAGGTCCCCAGCTCCCACTGCAGCTGCACCAGCTGGGGGCTGTCTATAGGACCAACTCTCATATACATTGCTCTCTCTGATCCCTGGTCCCAACATTCATCAGGGAGAGGTGATCCCTGGGCTGCAGGTCTAGGATTAGGAGTAGGATCAACCCTGCTGTGCTCCTCACAGCCCACCTCATCATTGCAGCAGTCTGATGAGGATAGCTTTGAGGCCCACCCAAGTGAGTGTAAATACCATCCTGGTGAGGTCAAAGCACACCAAAGGACCTCATGTGGTCACCCACATTCTCCCACTGAGCCCTTCGAGCCCTTAAGGTAAGCAGAGGCAGCCTCTTGTGAAAGGGAGACAGGAACGTGAACAAAGTGCAGGGCTGGGCTGCTGTTACTCATGCGGAGTGCTTTGATTTGTGCGTCCCGAGCGCCTGTGCAAACAGGGATCTGCTGTAGCTGCTGCAGCAGTTTGCCCGCTGCATTGCCAAACTCCAGCTCTGGGGGCAGAGGTCAGTGCTGCAGCTTCCCAGCTGCAATATCAAACACGGTGCTCTGGGAAGGACAGGGTAAGCAGCAGCCTCCGTGCTCATCAAGGAGGAGCTGGGGGCCAGGGTCAGGTGCTGTTTTGGGGGACAGGGACAGGGACAGTGATGGGAATGGAGGTGCAGATGGTGGGGAAGACTGGGGAGCTCCAGGAGGTAGGGCTGAGGGCTCTGAGTCATTGATGGGATTGGACACTCCTGGGTTTGGTAGAACAGATAGGAAAGATGGAAAAGTGGGATTAGAGGCTCAGGGCAGGGATCAGAGACTGGGGTCCTGCCTGGGATGAAAGGAACCTCAGCGTTTGCCAGCACCAAGGAACAAACAGGACTTTCAAGTAGTAACTTCCACCCATGGGAGCCAGTCAAGCTTTGATCAACAATGAAGAGCTCTACAAAGATTTTATCCTGCCAAAGACACTGATGATGGGAAAACAAACAACTGAGACTGGACAAGCAATTCTTCACAACATCTTACAGACTCCTGTTGCAAAGAACACAACCTGGTATTCACAACCTGCTTGCTGCAAGCATTTTCTGAGTGCTTGCTGTCTCTGTGTCAGATCTCTTCAGCCACACGGCATAGCTACCCTTGCTCTTTGAGGACTGAAACACTTTCAGTGCAGATCTGCATTTGCACAGTGATTTAGGAGATTCCAGCAGTCTGACTAGCAATCAATGTTTCACTTGGGAAAAAATATACCAAAGAATTGCAAATGATGCAGCAGCAGAAAGAAAAATGAATCACTTTGATTTGACTCCAGAGGCGTCCTCCATGGCCACCTCTCCCCAAGCAGACCAGACACATTCCCTAACAATTTTAGCTTTGGGTGCTGAACTAGCACTAGAATCTCAGAGAAGAGAAGCGGAAAGTGCATCAGGCGGCTGCTGGAGTCATTCTTATGCTGGGCTTGAAAGTGCTGTCTGTGCACTGCTTGGCTTGGTGACAGCTGCAGGAGAGGTTATGATAACACTTTGCACATGGCTATTTTTATCACCATTGATATAGCACTGCAATTCAACATGCAGAGTTTGGCCACAGGAAACATATGCCAAGGAAGCAAGGCTTCTGCCCCAGCATGCACCAGCCACATCCTACAGCTGCCCACCTGCTGTCAAGGAGAAGCATTGTCCAAAGCCTTTAGGACAGAGATCTGTCTGATGCTGGAGGGAAGGAGTTTGGCAGAAGCTTCAAGAGGATGGAGAAGCAGCTGGACCCTGGTGCAGAAGGACAGCAGTTGCAGCGGGTAGAGGAGCCAGGGTACAAGGCAAAAGGAGGGCCCAGGGATGTAGCTGTCTGAAGGAGCATTTGTCTGTATTTCATGGCTAAACTAGCCCTACGTGGGGGAGAGAGCTATGAGCATCTCCTGGTGAGATCTTGCAGCAGGAGTGCCTGCAGGCAGGATGATGACTGACATCATATTCAGCTGGATCTCAAAACCCAGGGGTGGATTCAGCTCTGGTAATAAAGCAAAGATGGCTAAAGGCCATCTATCAAGCCTCTATCAAAGTCACTCTATCAAGCCACATGCATGGCAATGAATTGAGGGTTTTATTTGCCTTGCGGGGTTAGAAGTGCTAGAGAAGGTCAGGGCTAGTGAGGATGCAGCAATGGAGCATATCTTGTCCTCCCTGTGCTGATCTCCCTCAGCTGATCCCCAGGCTCAGTAATACACTGGTACTTGCAGTGCTGTGATCAGAGACTGAGGCCAGAGAGGTTAAGGACAAAAGTAGCAAAACAGTTTTAGAAGTCTTCTGCTTTTATGTTCTTATACGGAATGTGAATCTTTGAAGTTGCTCTTCCCTTCCTGTTCAATCTCATCCACAGAAGCTGCACTGGCCAAACCTGGCATTGCTGCCCACAGCAATGCCCACACGAGACGTGGTAGCATGGAACTGTTGTAACACAATGTTCACAGCTGGATGGGCACAGGTCAGTTGTAGTACCCCGCTGCGCTCCCTAAAACACTTGCAGAGTCCTTGCTCTTACGTGTATCACAGGCTGCACTGGAAGCCCGTGGGTGTGCTCTTTCTCCTACTCTCCTCATGCATCATTAGCACCTTTAGGTGTGACCAGGCCATTTTGCAGATGCAGGATAATTGACAGTAGGTCAATAACTCCTGCACACTAAGTGCTGGCTTGTGCTAACAGCTGGCATCAGCTCCAGAGCAGCAGCAAACCAAACTCAGGCTTCCATCCAGTCCAGAAAGGGGTGGGCACTGCTGTCTGACTGCCCATACGGCTGTGATGAAGCAGCCCTGAGCCGGCAAATATGCACCATGGTTGTCACAGCATCACATCTCCTTGCTTTTGTCACCACAGCCTCTGTTAAAAAATGTGCTGTGCAGGAAGGGCTGCTTGGTACTAATTTTACCTGCCCTCTTCAGCCGAGCTGCAGGGAGGACAGGAAAGGACCCTGTTCCCAGCACAATGTCACCACCAGCAGAAAGCAGACAACAGAGGCTACATCACCTGAATGCAATCCAGACAAAGTAGAGCTAAACAAGACTCTGTGTTTTTACAGTGCTTGTGGAAAATAATATAACATATTCTACAGAGATAATAAAAGGACATAGACTGAACCACTGAAGAAAAAAGATAATGTTAGCTTTATCCACTCAACTTTATCAGAGACACAAAGATTTTAAGGTTTAAAATGACCCTCGTTCTCACCTGACTTCCTTATTACCAGAGAATTGTACCAGTGACCTCAACTTTTGACACAGTAACTGCCATTTCACTAAGGCACCTCTTTTGCAGAAGACCTGATCTGAAGACCTCTGTGATCTCCCATCCCTTTATAAGGTGGATGGTGGCCCTCACTGTTAAAGAGTCACTTTTTGTTTCTAGTTTGCCTGTTTTGCATTTTTCTGAATTGCTCAGTGTTGATCCTTCATGTGCCTCATCTATTGAAGTAATGCAATATAACTTTTAAAGACAGAAGACATTTTCTGTGTCCATGGTTCCCACAGCAGAGGACACCAGAAAACACAAATCCCTCCAACAGGCCAGCAAGCAATGGGAGGGTGCATAATGTGGGGCACAGGGCTGCCAGGCAGCAAAGCGTACGGGATGCTGAGGTAAGGTCTGAGCTGTCCCAGAGCAGTCAGGTTAGGGAAAACTCTATACCTTTTACAAAGCCAGGAAGTACAAAAAGTAAGGAGGAATGGGTATTAGGGAAGGTTGGCACAGCATCTCCCCCAGAGGATACTTTCTGCCAAAGTCCGTGCTCTATTCTTGTTCTTTTCTCCGCCCTCCAGCAGTTCTTTCCTGCCCTGCTGCTTCCTCCAGCTCTTACTCTGTTGTGCATCACAGGTTTCATCTCCCAGGTTGGTGCCATTCAGGACTTTTTTTGCACATACCTTGTTAGCCAGCGACAGGCATGGGTTGGGATCCCGATCTGGCTGCTCAAGCTTGACAATGGTGATGAATCCCGACTCCGTGTGCTCATCCTCACTGGTGTTGCACAGGGACAGCGGGTGGGACTGCAGGACAAAAGCAAAAGAAACTCAGATCCTGGGGCTCAGCACTGCAAAGGGTGGCTTGAGCTCACTGCAAACTCTGTGTCTCAATCTGCCAAGAATGTGTAGGAGACACCACTGGGATCCCTGCAGTGGGCATTACACTGCAACATCCTGTGTCTGAGCATCAGTGAGGCTTTGAATGCCACAAGAAGCAAGCCACAGTTTGGTCCACCAGCGAAACATCCCAGAGAGAGGTGAAGTATCTACCATGGGCTGCACACAGGTCTGGCTTTGTCCCAGTGACATAGTCAAAGCCAGACCTGTGTGGATTCTGGGTTGGGGCATGCAGACAGTGCTGGCTCAGCTGCTGTGGGGCTGCTAGGGCCCCAAGGCACAGGACCCACTTCCCACAGCCAGCTTGCTTGCAAGCAGCAGCGACACAATGCACAGCTCCCCAGCTTACAAGAAAAGCAAACTCCTGGTGCCCTCAGAGAATCAGCAGTTCTTGTTCTTCTGCCGCCAGACTCAACAACTTTATGATGAATTTGTAGAGGAGAAGCCAAAGGAACTGTTGAAAAACTCAGAACAGGTAGCAGCAAAGAAATGCCACGAATGAGAGGGGAGAAGATAAGATCCCAGTAACCACATCCCTGTGAGTCCTGGAAAAGTATTCACCACCTTGTGCCAAACTGATGGCAGTGGGGAGCAGAGCTCACAGCCACCATGGGACATCCCTATGGGATGGGGTTGGGGCACCATGCCTAGGTGCACACCTCTGCGGAGCATCCTGCAGCAGGGGCCATGGCCTGCCCCAGCCTATCACAGGGACATGAGGGCAAGGTGAAGTCCTGCCAGGGGCTGAGTGCCACACTGGTCCATGCCTGTGAAGTGTGTGATTGCTTCTGATTTTTCAGTCTGGCGGTAGAGGGAAGACAGTCTTGTGCTAAATGACGGGAGGTTAAAGGAAACTGGAGGAAATTTGGTTCTTGGCTCCCTCTGGGAAGTCCTGTCATTTTGCATGAACCTTCCCAGCTTTTCCTAGAAAAGCTGGCTGGCATCCTCCTCTGTGACTAAATTATGCTGTACAAAGCACACAGAGGTTACATTACAGAAAAAGCTATAAATACTAAGGGTGTTGGGCAGCTTTTATTAATGCATCAGTGTGTGGAAATGCAGGAAACGAGCAAGAAAGCTCAGCATTATAAAACAGCAGGATTAGGGCAGGCATTGTACCTGAGTGTCCAGCAGCATGTCCTACTCTGCAAGTAACTCTGCAGCAACATTCCAGTGCTGTGCAGAAAGGCTGCTGACTTGACAGGCTTAAACCAGGGGCGGGAGGGAAGCCATTTCCTGCTCTCTGACAGTTCCAGTTTGAGACCTGACTGCAGAGAGTGGGAGAACGGGGCTTATTTCACCTAGCTTCAGACACGCTGATGGTGCCATTTAGCAAACAAGCGGGTCTCCCAGACACCTCATCAGCAGGAACAGGTCCTTCAAGGCAGCGCGACTTGGGAGCTGTGCAGTGCCCATATCTTGCTCCTGACAATAAAGGTGCATAGACAATTAGCCCAGATGCAGCCACCTGCATGGGACACATCAAAAGCTGAAGGAGACCGGCGGCACCTCCGTTCACTTGGAAATGCAAAATGTGCTCACTGAGCCTGCAGGGTGTGGGGAGACAGCGCTCTGAGCTAGAGGGCAGGGAACCTGCTGGGGTGGTGCGTGGCGCTGAGGCTGGTCTGGCACACCGCGCTGTGCCCTGCATCCCCTGGCTCCAGCCAAAGCCCAGCTCGGAGCTGACCCTGCTGGGCCCCGGAGTGCCCCTTGGCACCCATTGGCACCTGCCTGGCTCCATCAGGGCTGAGGCTGGAGCTGCTGCCACTGGGTGCGGCCCTCGGCCGGATTCTGCCCCTCATGTCTAAGGGGAGCTTCCAGGGGGGACCTGTGGAGATCACCGCAGGGTTGTGTCCCTAAAGAAGAGGGCTTCATCACACGAACTACTACCCTGCTGAAAGCGCAGGTGCCTTGACACTCCAAAACCAGGTACTAGGAAACAAAAATGGGTCTGGCCAAACCAAAAGCAAGTTATGATGGTGAGGACTTAAAAAGAAACAAACAAACAAAACCCCACAAAAACATGGAGTAGGTTTGGAGGCAGGCAGAAAGACAGAAAAACCCAAACCCAGGACTCTCAGCTAACCTTCAGGAGCTAACCTTACACCCAGGTGTAAGGGATGGCACCATTGGCCTGTGCTGTGACCTGTTACACTTTGAAATCCAGCACGGCACCTGGTTAACAACCTTGTGCCTCATTCATCTTTCTCTTGGGGTCTTTCTTGCTAATCCATATATTAGATGAAAAATGTCAGAACGCTATATAATTCAGACTTAAAATCAGCCTTTAAGATGTTCTAGAGAACATACCTGTGCCAAGCACCACTTACTGTAAAATTCAGAGCTTGGGGTTTCCAGGGAAGCAATGAAATCTGTTATGACTTGGGAGCGCTCAGGAGAGGCTCCCAAATAACCCCGCACTTTGTTCGAGCACTGGCAGGTGTTGCCCACATGCAGATGAACACAGCTTTTAAGTGTTTGCAGTCCCCCTGGCTTTACCAACCAATGTCATTACCTTTATATTCTGTTTGCTTGACTGGGAGTTCTCTGGCTGTTGGTTAATATATCATTTAATAAGCACGGAAAAACACAAAACAAGAAATGCAAAAAGCGTGTCTTGTAATACTTCTAATAATTCAGAGATAACCCTCCTGATGGCTTTATCAAGCCTTTACCAGGTTGCTCCTGGAGCTCCAAGGAGCCTAAGCTGCTGGAGCACCCTGAGACACCAGTTCTGCAGCGGCAAGAGGCTTTAGAGGATCTCATTAGTGGTGGGGTGCGATGCTGGTGAGATTTGTAGCGTAGGTGGGGTAGAGGACATCTCCAACTGCAGCTGGCTGGTTTGGGAAGAAGTCCCACCTTCCAGTACTGCTTGGAGTTGTGTTTGACCCTTGGTGGGAATGGCTTGCTGGATGCTGTGATGTTCTGGGGGCAGGAATCTGTGGAGTAAGGGCTATTCCTGTGTGCAGAGCACAGAGCAGTGTCTCTGTGACAAGGATTGCTGGGCCTGATCACAACATTAATGATAAACACAGGGAATAAGTGCAACAAGTGCTAATCTATGTTTCTGCACCCCAAATGATCTTGGGTAGCATATACAAAGTCTTGGAACCAGGTGGTAAATTGGGGGAAGACCTGCTGATGAACGCACCAAAACCTTCCTTCTGATTTTCTGTTAAGACTGGCCACTGTGGTGTTTTCCTCTTTCCCTCTGGGACACCTGATCCCTCTTGCCAAGCAAGAGTCCTTTGTTTTGTGCGTTTCTGCCAGGGACACAACTGTATCCACAAAGGGCACAGCAAGCAGCAGGGGTAAACTGAGACGGCCAGGGGAGCCACAAGCATGCAGGGGTCACTGCCCCCTGCCCCATGGAGCTGGGGCAGACAAGTGGCTCCCTCATTATTCTGTAAGGAGTCCTTAACCAGGCACCTCTGGAGGCTGAGAGTCCGGGTGCTTTCCTCAGCATTCTTTAAAAAGATGAACAGGAGGCAGTCAGGAGGGATTCTTCGTATCTCATCCACCCAAGCAACATGCCCCACTCATCTTCACTCCAGATCACCGCCACCGGCCATTGCATTTGGCGTGAGTGATCATGGCTGCGCATTGTGCTCAGAGGACAAGCAAGCTCTAAAAATAATCTAAGGATCAAACACCAAACCAAATATTATTTGATTCCTTGATGCAGACAGGACTCTTGCCCCAGCTGCTGGCCCTTGCCACTCACTGGGCTGCAGTCAGCATCCCTCATTCCCTCTGATGCAGGCCCATGCACAGGTGGCTGCAGAGTGGCTCACCGACTGCAGGACTGACAGATGGGCTTCTCCAGGCAGGGGTCCCACATCCTGGGCGCTCTCCCAGCCTGGGGATGTCTGTGGCACCAACTGCTACAACCAAGAAGTCATTGTTCCTTACAGAAAGCCTCTCAGACCTAGAGAGGCAGGGCAGTCAGGCCTGTCAACCCCCTGGCTCTGTCACTCCATTTCTCCTTGTCACCACATCCCGCTCACTGCCTGCACAACAGGATGCAGAGATCCTCTGCATGTGTATGAGCTTGCTGCCACTTTTTTCCCATTTCCTTACCCTATGGCATCTCCTTCTTTCCTATCTTTACCACCATACCACTGCCTTTCGAATACCAAACTTTTCTTTCTCACTTACCCTCACAGCCTTCCCCGCTCTCCCACAACCCATTACCTGCACACCAGCCCGTCCATCCCACCACTCCAGCAGCGCTCGTATGATGGGCTTGGCGCTGCTGGCGTGGAGGCTGCTGAGAAAGGACCCTGCCCGTGGAAATGCCCTGCAGAAAGGCAGGCACAGAGGCATGCTAGATGCTCAGAGAGGGCTTCACTTTTAAAACAGCAGAAAAAAAGGTGACCCTCAGAAGTAATCTAGCCCACTTTTCTGCCCTAAGGCAGGATCAGCCAGACCTAAAACATTCCTCAGAGACACTCGCTTAACCTGTTTTCAAGACCTCTAAAAATGGAGACTACTCACCCATCCCAGGCAGTCCTGTCCAGGGCTGCATTCTCCTCTGCACAGTAAAGTATTTTCTAATGCTTTATCTGAATCATTCCTGCTGCAGTTCAAGATAATTAATTCACATTGAATCAACTATGCCCATGGAAAATACATTATTTGCTGTCCTTTTCTGAGAACCCTTTAAACACATCTACCCACAGCAGAGAATGTGGGGACGAGGCTGGAGAAGCAGTCCCAAACAGCAAAGCCAGAGGAATTACTATCCTTGGTTTTCTCTTTAAGGGAATATTTCATACACGATCTTCATAAGGAATAAGTCAAAAGGATTGATTTGATTTGAAGTGTCAGTAAAAATCTTATAACCAACCAATAAGAGGCATGGAAGAGAACAGTACAAGACTGTTCATCAAAGGGCTCTAATAGAA